ACATTAAACTTAGTCGTTAATACGAGGTCGACGGAAAAATCATTTTAATATATCGTTTCCTATACATACAATTATTTCTGTGAATAAGTGAAAGTGATTGCAGTATGGTCCTCAATTAACATTGCCACTTTAAATACAGATCTGGTTCATTCACATTCTCCAAGGATATTAGAAATTGAACATTGCATTCGAAAAGAATATATACATTTAAATTACTAATCGACACATCAAAGCTGTGGGACTATTGATTAACGTATTTGTTCTTTTTGTTGATGTTAATGGAGTTGTGAAATATGCTTGCTAATCATTTACAAAGAAATTGAATTGGTAATATCTAGCATTCTTCTGTAACAAATCAAGTTCATATTATCAGTTATCCTGTAACAAATTTAGTCATTATAGTATTAGCCCAGCCAATGAACGAAAAATAGATCGATCGAATCGTGCAGTTCTGATTTTTTGGATAGAGATAGGTAGAAATGTCCTAAACAACCAGCAATAAATTCCTAACGGATAAAGGTGATGCGGGGAGTCGGTGTTTCAATTTTTCTGCAAATTCATCCAAACGTATGCACACAAAATTAATCTGAATAAAATTCTCGACAAAAATGATGCCATAAAATTTTTGTAGCAGTGGCGTACCTACGAGGGGGACAAGGGGGATATATCCCCCATATGCTGCTAAAAAGACACCACTTTTCTTCACGTATTACGTTTTCATCTGTGTCGTTGGTCGTTGTATTAAACTAGCAGAATGTAGCGCTTGTGCTTTTTCGATTTTGGTACACTCTCGGTTTTCTCTCGCTGGGATTTTCGATATTATTTGTTTGGTTTGTTTATTTTATGTAATGAGTTGTACTAGTCAATTCGATTTCAAGTAGGCGGTGGTGCAGTATTTACCTAATTTTAGTGTAGGTATGAAACAATGCGATTTATCTAGGACGGACTGTAAAACGTGTTTGAACTGAAATTATCATGAAAAAGCTTGTTCAAACTTTCTGTGAACATATATTTTATATTCTTATTCTTGCACTTATAAAGGTGAATAAAATACGAAATTAAAACGAGTCGCCTTTTAAGTAATAAAAAAACATCGCCAAAAACACTTCTAAAATTCCCTTTCAGGGGATATCCACACTAGATGTGACATTCATTCCTGTAGTCCCAGAGCATGTCACATATTATGTTAGTTGTATCATTATATATTTTTAGTATTTCCAGATGGAGTTGGTTGGTTTATAATTTCTATTTCACTGTCATTCATCAATGATAAAATCTCAAGGTTCAGTGGTTATTTCATGTTACTTAAAAGCCAGAAATGTTATTTTGCTACGGAAATTCAGTGAGATAATGCCGAACATAATATACAGGGTGGCATTGAAATATGTGCAAATATTTGAAACACTGAGAAAACTCGACGTGTATTATCGAATGGCAGTGATAAAAAAAATTTTTGGGATCAATATAAAATTAGAGGTTAGGCCCTTTTTTTACATAAAAGTTCTACACTGTAGCAAATCTGACGTCACCTCTGTTCAAATTTCCATGTGGAAGGCACAATCACGCGGAGTTCAATCATTTAAATTGTTTTAAAGTGGCGAACTTGATTTATTTCTCTTATTTTGTTCAATTTTCTGGATGAAATTTAATTAGAAGAACTAGAAAAAATCTGATATCATGGGAATATTCCTTAGAGTGTATCATAGTAATGTGCTGAATATGTGTACTTTTTTCAAAAACACCTTGTATAGGGATCGACCGATACCTATATCGGTGATATCGGCCTCCTGGGCCGATATCGGTATCGGCCGATATTTAAAGGACAATATCGGCGTACATCATTATCGGCGTACATCGGTATCAGCTTAAATAAATAGAAAATATTGAGTTAATAAGGATCTTGTGAAGAAATCAAATCACAAATACTGCATTGAGAAAAAATGCTCATTCTTATTCAAAATTCAATAAAAAAAGTCATTAAAAACGAGAAAGTACCGCATCAAAAAATTAATTTTTATAGTTCTTGCAAGTTATAATGTAACAAAATAATTATGCTTCCTGCTCTTTCCGGAGTTAGACGATTTCTTGCGCTTTCGTAAACAGTATTTTTGGCGGGGATGTTGAAAAAATTATCGCAACTTTGTACTTCATTGGATAAATGTTTCATTTTGCGCCCACTAAGTCGGGAGAAATCGAGCCGGGGACATTTTCCTGAATTTCTTGGTCGAGCTCTTGATTTACCTCGATTGGTTTTTTAGCAATTCTCGCTAAAGGAGCATCATCGTCGAATTCGTTGCCCACTTCAAACTCCCCGGAATTACCTTTCAGGAAGTCTGAATCCTGTCCATTAATTTTTAGGATGGAGAAGCACCAAAATGAATTTTGTTAGATATATCGAAAATCAAGCCAAATTATAAAAAAACTGCAGTGAAAAAAAAGTTAGATGATTAATTTTGTTTATCATTGAAATATCAAAATGTGGTCAGCGGCGAACTCCATATCAATTTTCATCAAAGAGAATGTGAAATACCTATCTCCCTGCATATTGATTAAATTCATGCACATTCACGATAGCACGATAGTAAATTGCCCTACGAATTTTAGAGCAGTTTTTCTTAGGGATTTTCAAATATTCAAGAAAATCTGGAAATAACATTATTCCTCAACGCTCTCTCACGGCTCAATGGTGTACTTTCGTATAGAGGTGAGTTGCTTTCAATCGGTCTACTTTGGTATCTATTTCACCCTGTACAATTTATGGTGCGTTGTTCTGGGACATCTTGTATTCAATCGCTCCGATATTAAAACTATAAAGCATGGCAATAATACTCTATGCCCGGTTTTTATGCAGGCAAGCCTATAGGTAATGTTATTTTTGTAGTTTAGTATATTTTTTCTGATACCAATTTTTATTGGTTATCATATCGGTGAAATTATCCAAATTGAATGACATGTTTATACCTGCTTGCCAGACAACTATGAACAGAAATCAGTTGGCAAGCCTACCAAGCCATATTCTCTATGTTAAAAACTATATGTTGAGACTTTTGGTTATCATAAGAGTGGAAGTGATGAAAAAAGTTTATTAAAATTAATTCAATTAAAAATAGCCATGAACACTTTTCGATAGGCAAGCTGTCATAGGCGTGTTAATGAATCAGATGGGTGAAAGCGAACCCGAGATAAGGGTTTTTTGGAAATATTTTTTGAACCCTTTGTGATACAATAACCAAACTTTGTACAGTCGTCTTCCGAGATCATGTTGCACATGGACGGTGTCAGCTTTCTTGATCACTGCTGCAATAAGAGCGCTCATACCGTCCAACCGCGACATGTTCGTTGATGACGACGGTACATGTACCTAACTTTTTACGCTCAATTGAAAAATGTTGAGAATATTTCGAAATTTGATCAGGGGTATGGGATATAGGAGGGTCTAGGAACACATTCCCATCCAACTTTTTTGTTTATCCAATCTCGGCAGTTTGACCAGGAAATATAGACATCAAATTTTACTCCGAAATGGTATAGGTATCTCGAATGGAACATTTTCAGGGACACTTGAATGGGTATTAGGAACGTGCAATGGTATAATCACAATTTTCTGACTGAATATAAAAAAACAAATGTATGCTTTTCTCAGCCTCCTCAGTTCACCCTCAAACTACATTCCCCATCTTGTGATAACCATACATGTATCTGTTTGATACTTGAGAAAACATCCACTGTGAAATACTTAAATACTTGAAATATTTGTAATAGGTGTGTACTTATTATAGGCCAATATGATTCACATTGCTCGGTTGAACAAATATCTTGGGAAAAAAATGACAGGAAAGGAAGTGTGAGCATCTAAAGAAATAAAATATTACATTAATTTTTGATATTTTGTATATAGTTTGCATTTTCTCGGAATGATAATTTTTGGATCTACTATTACTCCCAAATATTTCGATTCTTCAACTTTTCCGGTACAATCACTTCCAACCTTCAACGAATAGGTTCTTATTTTCAACTCTTGTTGTATTGCTGCCTTTCCTATCAACATAAATTCAGTTTTCGTTGATTTTATCCATGTCATGTTTTCAAGTGGATATTGAAATTCGTGTTCCTCAACGATATTATTGACATTATACTGATCGTTTGGAAACACTTCGTGGAATGAATCTTGAATACGAAAACTGTGAACGAAACTGGGTTATTAAAGTACAACCACACAAATATAATATATAGATGATGCGAGGAATATCAAATATGTAGGCACTTAATTCACCTAGTAAGTCAACATCTTGGTTAATATAACGCATCCGTAGGCTGAAGTAGAAGTTAAGTCAAGAAGCATTTTCAGAAACTTACTCCAGGTATCCAACCCGATCCAAATAGATCACGTGACATATCACTGAGATCACCTACCCAGATAATATAGTTCACGAACGTATTAGGTTACGGACCTTCGAGGTACTGGATCACTCAGGGTTGGATTTCAAAACACTGAATGCAAACACGTCTTCATTTAGGAGGGTATACATTCATTTCACCACAAGATAACATCAATTGTAATAACTCCTTCTTCATCTCATAATTCATCATCAAAATCTCCTGCATCTCATAATCCATCATCAAAACAATTTTTCGGAGGTTAATGCTGTTATTATTTGGAAAATTGCAATTTTTCTTCTATTCATGCCATTTATTTAACTCGAACAACTCACGAAATACAACTAAAATCAAATAAGGAAAACAAAATAGCATAACCATGCATGCTGTGCCTTTGACGACCCAGCTCTCGAGTAGGGTTACTATAGAAAAACCTGAGTTAGTAATCGAGTAGGCATCACCGAAGTTTACGAACACGGGTAACTCGGGTTAGGTAAACGAACGTGCATGTTGAGGATCGAATCAACTCCAGTAGGTTTCCGAAAAGGCCTAAGGACACTGTTGACTAAAAACTATTACACCAGCTATGAGTAGAGACAGCTACAGCTTTTTTTTATTCACAGTAAGACGATTACTTATGAAGGGAGTCAGTCCAGACTCTTGCAATGAAGATGGTCTCACAGCCCTCCATCAATGCTGCATTGATGACAACGAATCAATGCTATTACTACTTCTAGAATATGGAGCCAACGTGAATGCAGAGGATAGCGAGAAATGGACGCCACTTCATGCGGCGGCTACTTGCGGTCATCTCAAATTAGTAAGGTTTGTTGAAAACAATAAATCTAATTTCATTAGGAATATATCAAAATAAATTAGACCTCATTCAATTCACCAGATTTCTCTATCTGACTCAGAGCATAAGCAATAAAATGCTTGGAAACCTGAATGGAAACAAACAGTCAAAGAAGGTGTCCCGCTCAATTCGAATCGCCCATGGCCTCATTAACATTGTAGATGTGATAAAACCGAAAAAATATTCCTTGTAATATTTCAGGAAATAAAGTTCATGTAAAAATGTGTCCTAACTTGCTTCGTTTTCGAGTTATTGGATATTAATATCTCCATGAAAAATGTTTTTTTTTATTCATTACTCCAATGTCTTTTCATCAATTTCTATAGAACGTTGTAGTAAATTTGGCACCATAAAAGCTCCTACAGGAGGGTTATAAATAAAAACAATTAATACTTTCAGCTTCAACATCTTGTATCTCAAAAACGAAGCAAGTTAGGACACATGTTTATATGAACTTTATTTGCTAAAACATCACAAGGAATCACCCCGTGGATTTTTTTGGTGTTTCAGATACACTCTATATACTCGTGTGAAAGTGGCAAGGCACCTGGTAAAGGTGAATGATCCTATAATCTTCTTGAAAATTTATCCTCCAACTAGGTTATCAACATGTGTTCCTACACATGCGATATCTATTTGGCTTGATAAAACGTCATCTTTAAGATGGTATACAAAAAAGGGTCATTAAATGATCCCTTGTGGATTGTATTGTTATTTCAAATGCTTCTCATAAGTCAAGTATGTCAACTGAATGGTTATTGGCATCGGGAATTCGTGTGGGTTCTTGGATAAGCTGCTCTAAGCCGTGAGTGTCGCCCAGCTTCATCCGTTCTGTTAGAGTGTACGAGCCAAGCGGTGTTGTGTACATTGAAATCACCCATGATGATGATTTCTGCTGCTGGATGGTTCTGTTGAATTTGGTCAAGCTTCAGAGGCAAGAATTCGAAGAGTTCTTCATAGGATGGATCATTTGGTGATAAGTAGAGAAGGTATTTGCTCTGTTTCTGGCTATCGAGTTTGAACCACATGACATCAAGCTTATTTGGTTCCAAAGTTGTTTCTTGTTGACATGAGAGATTCGTTTTAGAGAAGAGGCAGATACCTCCCTTGAATCTGAAACGTGTGTGGAGTTCGTACCCAGGACATGGCAGATAGGTCGTATCGGTGGATGAATTGACCTGTGTCTCAGTAAGAGCCAATATGTCTGGCTTTTCAATTTGAAGGTGTCGATGGACATCGTTGATTTTCTTACTTAGACCTCGGATGTTACATAGGTCTATCTTGAGGACTTTTTCAGTCGATGGTGAACCCCCTCTAGCACCTCTCGCCCGGAAATCCGAATGGATAGGTATTTTACTTCCGGATAATTTTACTTGAGGAGAACTCATCATCGCTTATTCTGTATAGAGAAGGGAGGTTGGCGTGGAAGGAAAAGGAAATTGGGTTGGGTTGGGTTGGCCGGAACATCAACCAGCTACTGAAACACGGGTAAGTATATCCATTTCACAGTGCCTATGGTTGATATGTTGGTATCGCACCGGGCGATGGCGTTAACCATCTTCCACCTATTGGCGTCCTTTTAGTCGCCTTCTACGACAGGCAGGACTTACCGTGGGGTTATTCTAATCCGACCACCACACGGATTATCATGATATCTTTTATTATGACACTGAAGTCGTTCAATCTCAATACAAAATAATATGAATGGACAGTTTGAATAGAAGATGCGGTATTTTGGTGAATTTTGATCATCAATAGCTCAATTATTTTTCATCCAAATATGCAACTTATATATATCTTTGAAATCGGAAGAAAAGGCTCTATCGACAAGTCAAAAAATATATAGGGTGTTCCATGGAAGAAAAATCGAAGCTAGTATCCTTTTTGGACAAAAGAATGACCCTGTATATTAAGCAACACGAAATGAAAGTTTGGGTCGCTTCAAACAACTTTTCAATTCAAAATTTTTTTCACATCTGAAAACAAAAGATTTGAGGGGGGTTCCATTTTAAGAGGCGCACCCTGTACAGTCGTCTTCAGCGAACATGTCGCGGTTGGACGGTATGAGCGCTCTTATTGCAGCGGTGATCAAGGGTGCTGACACCATCCATGTGCGACATGATCTCTGAAGACGAGTGTACATAGTCCATTCCATAATTGATTCCCAACTAGTAATAGTTATTTACGTGAAAAGTGGGTTATATACATAATTAACGCACGCATGTGAGGATTGCACGACGAAGCCGTAGGCTGAGTCGTCGTAATCACATGAGTGCGTTAATGATGTATCCCATGCGTTGCGTACAAAATTTCATCTACAACTGTCAAAGTTTTCATAACTATCCTTAAATGTACCTCATTAATATTCCACTTCGACGTACCTACTAATGACAGTTTTCTGATAATTGAAAACACAAGTTGCCTGTGACTTCTGCTAAGAGAACTTTTTCCAGAATGAAGCTTATATAAAATTATTTGAGGGGTAGCATGAGCCAGACAAGGCTGAATTAAATAGCCTAGCAATGATGAGTATAGAGATTTAATTATCAGAAAATATTTCGATCATGTAATCGATCAGTTTGCTTTGATTTGAAATTTATGAATCTTTATATTACGTTTATAACAATACACCTGTTGTATATTTTGTTTTGCTATAATATAGAGATAATAGTGTACGTTTAAAACTATGTTTCAATAGAAAAGCTACTCTTAGATAACTTATAATCAACCTGAATTCGTATCTCTAGATTTCTGTATTATATTATATATAAAAAAAGTGGACCAAAATTCAGGATCAGAGTTTATATTCTGGAAACTTCACCATTGGAAAACACTCTGTACATGTTGTAGCCATGTTCATATTTTCAGTTGGATTTTTTCACTTATAGAATCCTAATCACTCGAGGGGCTAACCTACTTGCAGTTAATGCAGATGGCAATATGCCATATGACATCTGTGAAGATGAAGGAGCCCTGGACTACATAGAAAGTGAGATGGCAAAAAGGGGAGTCACTCAACAACTAATTGATGAGACACGAGCATCTACAGAGAAGTATATGCTGGAAGATATGAAGAAAATAGCTGCTTCAGGTGGAAGTTTGGAGAAATATGATAGTCAAGGAGCGACACCAGTGAGTTGGTTGATCATAGACATTATTTGATATATTTACTAAGTACACACTGAATAAGAAATTTTGAAATATGATGATAGATAGTACATACCTGTCCAAAATTATAAATCAATGATTTAGGAATTGAGTTATCATTTAATGAAAAAAAATCAGGCATTTATTTGACAAATCCACCAACATGATGAATAAGGGATCCATCCAGTATGCTAGCATGCTATGATATTCACTATCTGGCACACATTTCTTCACGAATTCAAGAGACAGGGTGTTGCATAGAAATGAAAAATAAAAATTCGCCCTGTAGCGACTAATCGGAGCGTTTTGGTATGGAGGAAAGTTTGGTTCAATCTTCTCACTTTGGTCTCAGGAGTCTATGGTATCATTTTGTACAGACAATTCAGGGACACCCTGTATTTAAATATTATATATCTTTTTCGAAAAATGAAAGGAATTAAATGAGCTTATAAAATTCAGGCTATTCCATTCAAAAAATCAAAAGTTTGAATCTCCAAAACCATGCCCCGAAAAAAAAATTGAGTGCGCTACAGGATTCTGCGTAAATTCCTTTCGTAGCTATAAAGGGGGTTTCGAGATCGCCTTGTATCTCATAAGCAGAAACAATTATGCAATATCTGATAAGGTCATTTTGAGTTTCACAAAAAAGTGGCAAAGGACCGCAAAAACCGCAAAACAACAAAACTGGACACAGTTTTGGAAATACTGAAAAGTGAGACAGAAATGTGAAAACCTCAACACTCTATCTCCAAAGATAATTGAGATATCTTGCCAAAGCATCGAAAACTGGACATACTGTGTCTACTCTTGAATGTCAATATAAGCCAGAGATCATAGTTGTTGTTCTAAAAATTGTTCTAAAATTGTTCTATCCGTCATTCGGTTGCCCCCTTACGAGCAACCCTCAGAAGTCTTCAAGAGTCTTGTGCGCCAAGGAATGACGGGGGCCTTACCTTTCAACGTGTGATCCCAAAAACTTTCTGGGGCCATCAGAAAAATGTCTGCAGTCGCTGAGAATCGAACCCACGACCGGCAAGCGAATGCGGATTAGAATATTGACACTCTGTCCACACGGCTACCTGGTCGCCTATCGTCATTATTCTGTGATCAAGAATTAAATCATTCATATTTAATTCAGAGATATCTTATTTGACGAAATTGAAATTCAGGTTGTAACTTTTTCAGCTACATATTGCTGCAGCCAATGGTTACATATCCGTGGTCGAATTCCTGGTCGACAATGGAGTACGAACTGATGTGAAAGACAAAGATGACTGGCAGCCTTCTCATGCTGCAGCTTGTTGGGGCCATGTGAGTAAACATGAAATAAAGCTGTCAACACATGAAATGGACCAATCATAATTTAAATGCTTTTGATAACCTTTATTTCCTAAGGAATCAAACGATTCACTTACAGTTTTCAATATAGAATGTTGTGTTCCATCATTAAATTTCAAACATAACTATGATAATTTGAAATAATCAGCAAATTAAAATAAACATAATTTCGGGACTTCCTACATGAGATCGGCGTAAGCAAATTCCTTTCGCAGTACTATGTTTTCAAATTTCAACAATCTGATTTTTGGATGTATGACAAATTGATATTCATCATACAGGACGTGGAAAGAAATTCTGAATTGAGAAAACTCAATCATGAAACTGCTATTAAAGGTTTGAAAAAATAACAAGTTTCCATCGTTCAAGTTTAAATCCCTTGATTTTTCTGGAAGTTTCAAGCTCATCAAGATCAGAGTTTATACAAGTATACTTATATACATTCCAATTTTTATTTCAATACTGAACATATTGGTAAGTTATATTTTCATATCATAGTACATTTTTCATAGTCTCTTTAAAGATGTTCAACAGATATAATTCAATGTTCGACGTAGCAAATAGCCAGAAAAGTAGTTGTTTTCTGTTCAATATTCAGAATGATATTATGTGCATATAGTTATTTCAATCTGTGTTCAATAGATATAATTCAATTTTCGTCGTGGTATATAGCCAGGAAAGTAGTTGTTTTCTGTTGAATAAACCGTGAAAGAATTGATATTTTCATCACATAGAGAATGCGAATTCTCAATGTGTTTCTTAATATATATATATATATATAGTAGAAGGGTAGTCGTTGCTGACTAGTTAGGTATCGACTAGTAAATAGTGAGGTTTTGCAGCAAGTAAAAGAGAACTCTTTGAAGATTATCCAAGCTTTCGGAATTTAATTGATTCCATCATCAGGGCATACTACAATAATTATTGTCAGTGATAATATAAAAGTCAAAATTAAATTGTACTTACATCTACGTGAGGATGATTACTATGATGTTAACAATAATTTTCAAAAATGAATTGTGATACATCATCCAGGAACGAAGTTGTTTGTAAAGTTGTAAAACAATTAACAATTAAAATAAAACAGTAGTAAAGTTACAATCACACATGTTAAAAACTTGAACTTGAACTTGAACTTGAGCTAGCTAGTCATGGACACCATGTGGCCGGATATGAAAAAATTAATGAATGGATGACAATCGAAATTAGGTTAGAATGTTGACAGTATTGACAAGACAAGTACTATCAGTAGTACCGACTATTGTACCAACCGTAAAAATTGTGGCAATTTTGAAAATGATGAAATGGAAGTTATAATTCAGAATTATCAATGGAGTTAACCCTGAAGGGGTTGATGTCTAATGTCAATTTATGCCTATTTATTGACATTAGACATCAACCCCTTCAGGGTTAACTCCATTGATAATTCTGAATTATAACTTCCATTTCATCATTTTCAAAATTGCCACAATTTTTACGGTTGGTACAATAGTCGGTACTACTGATAGTACTTGTCTTGTCAATACTGTCAACATTCTAACCTAATTTCGATTGTCATCCATTCATTAATTTTTTCATATCCGGCCACATGGTGTCCATGACTAGCTAGCTCAAGTTCAAGTTCAAGTTCAAGTTTTTAACATGTGTGATTGTAACTTTACTACTGTTTTATTTTAATTGTTAATTGTTTTACAACTTTACAAACAACTTCGTTCCTGGATGATGTATCACAATTCATTTTTGAAAATTATTGTTAACATCATAGTAATCATCCTCACGTAGATGTAAGTACAATTTAATTTTGACTTTTATATTATCACTGACAATAATTATTGTAGTATGCCCTGATGATGGAATCAATTAAATTCCGAAAGCTTGGATAATCTTCAAAGAGTTCTCTTTTACTTGCTGCAAAACCTCACTATTTACTAGTCGATATATATATATATATATATATATGTATCCAATTCTTTTATGTTCATAATTTTACCAGGAATATTCCTTTTCAATACTCTCACCCAACCAAGGGGTACAAACTTGAACAATGGAAACTTATTTTTATAGACCTTCAATCGCAGATTCGTGATTAGGTTTTCTCAATCCAGAATTTCTTTTCACGTCCTGAATGATGAATATCAATCTGTCATACATCCAAAAATTTCCAAAGATTTTTGGAAATAACTGAATATTAGCGATTTAATGTTTTTAACTCTATTTGAATAAATGTAACAAAAGAAATTTCACATTCTTATTGCTAATTTGTCTGTTCTACAAGATGGTGTTATCAGATTTTCAAACTGACCTTTCATGTTTGAACTGTCATCATCAACTTAATTTTTTTTTAAATACGTTCCGGTATTTTTTACTATGGATTTTGAGAGCTTTCAATCTCCCAAAACCAACGGTGTATCACACTCATTCGAAAAATTCATAATTATGGCATTTTCCATAAGAATCCATGTGCTAGAGAGAAAAAGCTCTCAAAATCCATAATGAAAAATACAGGGTCTTATTTAAAAAGGAAAATTTGATAATGGCAGCTCAAAGAGGAAACTTCGGTTTAAAAATCTGATATCACCATCTTGTAGAACAGAAAATGTAGCAACGAGAATGTGTAATTTGTTTTGTTACATCCAGTCAAATAAAGTAACAAGAAAATGAAAATGAAATCGCGAATATTCATTTTTTTTTTCAAAAATGTTAGGAAGTAGGTATTCAGAATTTTCCAAATTTCAAACGGCATTTTGTTAGGCACAGATCTTCGAGATGCCATCACTGCAGCCTGTAGTTCAAGTCTGGGAATCGATAGGGGTTCCAACGGTGCTACACGTGATTTTGCTGTTATAAATGAAACAGAAATGTTATCTTTCGCCAATACTCTCACATAGGATACTGCAGAAAAATGCCTGTTCACTCGGAACACAGAAAGTATTGACTTCTATACACTCTGCATCAGGTTTCAATGGTGAATATTATCTGGGTATTATCAATTTTTCAATTCTATCAAGACGTAGGGAACACCCTTTAAACATCTTCCTGATGCTGTCTGGTAGATTCACATCCGACTGTATCGCCAATCGCCAAATTTAGTGATGCTGTACTAATAATAATAAATAATAATAATAATAATAATGTTTATTCAGATTATTCACAAAATACAAATTGGTATAAATTTTGGTAATGAACAAAAAATAGAATATGTACAGTATATTCTGATGAGATATTTTCGAACAAACAAAAATCCAATGAAGCAGTGCCTGTGCGTGGGCGAGTTACTTATTCTAAAATGTTGACATCCATTAGTACAATACACTTTAATGTCCATGTGAGAAATATATATAAATTTATGGTATACAATTTGCTGAAATAATAAATGAATATAATGAACAATGGTAAATAAAACATACATATGAATTCGAGACATAAATATAACTTTTGACTTCTTTGATTTCAGTCCGGAGAAAGTTATAAAATCTACTCTACCGATAGTGATGATCCTATAGGATCAAATAGTCGTGTTCCGGATCCCGCAAAATTCTCTGTACCAGCATGTTCCTATATTCTGAAATGCTTTTCAAATCATATTATTGATTCCAACCATTCTTTTGATGTCAATGCTAATATGGAGATTATTCATGTTTGTAATAAAGGTCCACGGCTGAACCTTCTTGAAATTTTAGAAATTCAAAAATGTATCAACAACCCAAATGTTACTCGAACGTAACCATATTTTTCGGTCATTGAAGTTGTCATGGTTAATTTTTACCTCCCTATACTGTAACCTAGTCCGGTTCTGTATATTCCCTCTGATATCTTCTTCTTCTGATTTTGATGGTATTCCTACTACTGATTACTTCTCCTCTTTTTAACTGATTTTTTAGATTTCAACCTGATGATGTGTTTGTCATATACTAATTTTCAACATTTGGTTCACAATTGATACATTGCTCATGCTACAATAATTTCTCATTGCTCAATATTTGTTAGGTCATACAGTTTAGTACTTTAATTTGGTTTGTATCACTTGTCACGCAGTCATTCTGTCATGTCATTCTGCACTTCCTGATGTTTAGTGGCAACCAGGGATGATGAAACTCTTGTTGAGTGAAGTTTTATTTATAATTTCAATTTCTGCTCTTACCTTTGTTGAATTGCATCTTTGGCTATTTAGTCGAATTAAAGAACAATATACTTCATTACCTGCCTAATTTTCCGTTTTTTGACCGAGCTTTTAGTCAAACTTGTCTCCACATGTCTACTTAGGTCAGTTTTTTCCTCAGTAGTTCATTGTCTGTTTGTAATTTCTAATCTTTACAGGTATTTTCATGTGACTAAAGATTGCCGAAACTAGTCACAAACATTTATTTGTTGATATAATTTTTGTGGTCGACCGACTTTGTTTTTTACTGGTTTTTCTTGGGGAAAAAATATTGGGCCACTTTGAGAAGGATGGATGGTTTCCATGACTCACTTTTTTAAATTGGCTATTATTCTTGGTCCATTTCATGTATTGCTAATTGAAATAATCAATGTTGAGATTATTCATAATTTTTCAGTTGGAAGTCTTAGAGATCCTTGCTCATGCTGGAGCGAATCTCAACGCCAGAAATAAACATGACGAAACTCCTTCAGGTAAGACGGTGGGCCTACTACTTCTAGTGAGTGTTTCCGAAATGGAAGCAATAAATAAAATGAAGTGTTTTCATAAATCGTATGAAAAAAATTCTAAACATTTTTGAATTCGAAGTTGAAATTCACCAAGTTCATAAATTTGTACTGACTCATGTATACTAGATCTGAAAAGCTGAATGCATGTGACAGTAATGATGAAGAATACGTTTCATAGTTGTGGTTTTGTATTTCATGTATTAAAATGAAATCGATGCTTTTCAAAAATTATATACTGCAGTATTGTTTTAATTGATTATAGGAAGAATTAATAAAGCACATTGTAATAAATTACGCATTCAGAAAATGATAATTGTTTGGGAATAACTTGATAAGTGTTTTTTCTCGTCGATAATTTTTTCTATTTCCTGTAATGATATAATCAAAATATGGCGAAGCGCTTTCAACTATTGAGCCATAATCAGTGACACATACCCGTAAGAAAGTGGAGGTCGAAAGTCCATTTTGAAAATTTGTGAGAATTAGAAGGTGAAATTTGAGATTACGTGTTGTTTTCTCGTCAAGTGGTATCTATTGAGAGATCAAATCATAAGTGACAAAAATTGTTCTTGAACTTACGAACATATTTTTTTTTATCTCTTGGAGCCCACGAGAGGAAATTCCTATGATCGAAGAACATTGTGCGTACCTAGGTGGAATGGGGAGAGGAGCTAGGTGCTGGATTTTTTTTCAACTTCCAAAGGTGCATCGCAACAAAACTGAAACGTTATAGTTATGACATTCTTATTTTTCATTTTTCATACTAAAATGTGTTGATACGGCACAAGTGCTGGTAGTCTGGTGGTTATCAATTTCTTATGCCAATTAAGTGACAAATCTAACAAAGACGAATTAGAGGGGCCAGGTACCCGCGTGGTAGAAGCGTTAGTATTCTCATCATGTAGGCGCGCCGGTCGTGGGTTCAAATATTAACGAGAAATTGTTTTGATGGCACAAGAAAGTGTTTGGGATCACACGTTAAAGGCCCCCGTCATTCCTTGCTCGCACAAGTAAGCATTTCACTTGATTTCGATGTGTTCTAGTTTAAAAGTTATATAGTGAGATATTCGATGTTTGGAGATGTAATAATCAAGTTGATATTGCTTATAATAAATTATATAATTCAAAACTACGTCCAGACTTCTTATTCTAAGACAGTAGAATATACTAAGGAGCATCCTATTACAGACTTCTTAGGGTTGCTCGTAGGGGGGCAACCGAATGAGGGATAGAACAATTTCAGAACAATTTCAATCAGGAGCGGACTAGGCTGAAAAAGCTAGAGGGCTTTGTGGATCAAACGGTGATACATGAAATTATTGTCTGAGGGTTTTTTATTCCCCCATTACGAGTTCTAACTCGAAATTCTGAATTGTAACTTGGAATTCCAAAAACTGACAGAATAGGTATTTGCGGAAAAATGGCTCTGCATTGGCCAATAATTGAATATTGTAGATTAGTTTAATGATATTGTTACAACATTAAATCGCTAAATGAATCAACATGAATACAATCTAGATATATGTTCTGATTTTTCTAGATCTAACAATGTATTGGGATCTACAAATATCACGTGTTGACCATGAATGACAATATATATTTGACAGTTGTATTATACAGCATCAAATATCGCGACAAGTTATAAAGTATCACCCTTAGTAAAACATATTTTTCAGAAAAAAATATAAGGGACGAGCAAAAACTATGAATTTCATTGAAGTGAATAACTTTCGAAAAGCTTCACAAGAATACCTCACTCACAATATTTATTTTGTGTATACGTCAAATTATGAGCTCTTGAAACTAAAACAGTTTCAATTTTTCACTGATCAATCGAACGTTATATTTAATATACTATATTTGCAATCATCCTCATACAACTTTCTTTCGAAATTCGTTCAAATATCGATCAAACTCTGTTAGTTTCAGATACCCATAAATAATTGAAAAATATGGAAGGTCTCCTAGAGGTCTTTTCAATGGCGAGGAAATATATATATATATATAAATATACAAAGTGTTCTACTTGAAATCCTTACACTTTTTACTGCTCCCTGTTAAATTTCTGTGATAGTGAAGACCGCGAGGTGAAAACGTATCTTCTGTTTCAGGTAATGTTCAAAATCCCCTGTCAAGCCAGTTTTTTTTTTCAACTGTCAAAAATAAAATAGTTGAAGGAGGTGGTACTTTAATAACGTGTCAGCTGGTACCTACATTCCCAAATTGATTGAGTAATTACTAATTCATACAAACTGGTGTTTTGGGACCACAAAATTTTTTATCAAAAGAAAAAATAGAAGCTCATATACCTACTTTTTATACCGGGTGGTACGGAATTCCCAGTTCCAAGACGGAATTCCGAGGTACAATTCGGAAATCCGAGTAACAATCCACTATTCCGAGTAGAAACTCGGAATTTTGAGCAAAAATCTGCATTCAACACGCACGATGGCGGCGCGTTTATTTTTCGTCTCTTCCTTGGTACACTGCCAGGGGCGCCGCAAGGGAGAGGCGCCCTCCGCCCTTCGGGCCAGTCCGCCCTTGATTTCAATTTCAGTCAACGTCAAATGATAAGTGAAAAATTATATTTGAAAACGCAATAGACCATTTAACGCAGAAAGTGGCCCAAGTAAGAATCAATTCGGAATATCAAATTAAATATTCTACTACTGGCAACACTTGGGCAACACCACCAAAATGTCTTGCAATAAATTTTGAAATAAAATATCCTTGCGGTACGCGTCAAATTCTAAAATTGAAATCATTATTTGATTTTGTTTCAGTACTTTCATCAAGATATAAACCATCAAACGAATATAAAATATTAGGTTGCTACTTGGCGAAATTCATAATTTTCTGAAGATGGTCCATCAACAGGGCATTTCGTTCTAAAATTATTATACCAAAGGTTCCGTGCTGGATAAAAATTTCAGAGAATGGTGTCGATAGTTTCACAGATAGCACATCCTTCAGATAACCATATATGAAGGAATATTTGAAACGACAAAATGGATCTTTCTGAGGCTGTACGGAAGGATATTGGATGTTTAGGTCAAATAAAGTTGAGAAATTCCTTATTTTCCATAGAACACAACCTGAATGTATTGAAAAAGATCGAATGTTGTGTTCTATTCTCAATAATTTTTATATATATTACATGCAGACTATTCAATTGGAATGGTGATCTTGTATAGAGGTTGTTCATCGAATCCACCTTCACTGAACTCAAATTCTTGCTAGGAATCATCTACACCAGATTCGGAAATATGTGATTGAATATTATTAATTATACATTAAATTTTCTTGTCGTCCTTTGCAATTCGATTGTGATTGTGAAAATTGGATAATTATAACTTGATGGGAATCATAACTAAACCAACAGTATATTTACATATACCTGGCTGATGAGAATTTCGAGATTCCAGATTTTGTTCTCCAAGGGAACAATTTGGTAGACCCTTCAAAATGAATACTTCAAACTTGTTTGTCTCCGTATGGCATGCATAATTTTGAATACTTATGAACATACAAGTTTTTGTTTCTTTCAGAAGTATTTCCACATCCAATGAGGAGTTGGAAGGTCGAAATTTCTTTGAATTCAAACTGACATTCTCTTGACATGACAACACTCAACGTGACAGCACTTTGTCATTTTGTGAAATGACAGAATCGTAAATGTTGCCAATACATAGAAACCGAATAATGATATCTAATATGCCAAAAGCAGCGCTCAGCGGAAAATGGTCTATTCCAAATATTAGTAACCAGAAAGTTGAGTCGATTCAAGAATTCACAATAACCTAGATTTTCTTGGTTACAAATTAAATAAAAAATATATAATTTATTCGTATATTGTTTCGACGCACAAGTACAATTAAATATATCATATTATCTATATTGTATTCCCATGTTTCCAATCAAAACACTCCGGTTTTAGGTTCTGCTTAACATTTTTCGTTCGAATTGTGAGGAGATTCGGGGGTTGGGTTATTATACCCATACTTACCGGGTTTTCGATGCTCTTTTTGCTGAAGTTGACATTCAATTTTCACCATTTTCTGCTCACTGTGTCACAATTTTCCTCAAACGGTCTTTGGTCACTGATATTTCAAATTGTGTCATTTTTCAATTCGTAAAATATCATTTTTCACTTGTCACTCCATTTGACTAATTTGTCGCTTTATACTTAATTGGGTTGTACACACTAGTCGAATTTACGCCAAAAACCTATTCCATATTGATCCGTGTATAAATAGTATTTGATGCAATCATTCGTTATTTCAAATCATCCGAATTTTTTTTTTCAATAATGAAATTCAACACCTTCGAAAAATGCCAGCTTCGATGACGACACCGAACCGAAAGTCATCGTTATCTGAATTCCGGCTTTTGCATAAAGAGTAGGATCACATATTTCGACGCTGCCAGATTTTTAATTAGTAATTACCTTATGAGATTCAATATGACCAATGATAAAAGTATTCACATTCACAGAAGACCATAGTTCGACCTGGTCCCTAATAATCACTTATTGAATACTTATTTACTTGCAAGATGCTGCAACAGCGTAATGCCTGAAGTTCCCAAAAATACAAGAAAAGAAGAAGAGGACGAACTACATTGTCAACCTAACTTCCTGACTTCACCTTCATCCTCAAATCTTTGTTTCATCTAGTCAAGATTCGAATATTCAAATATATTCTTCTTATTTTCTGATTCTTCAGTTGTGTGTTGGGTTCTCTGTTATCTGCAGTAATATTCAGTCCAGAAAATTCACTAGAGTCTAGGGCGAGCACCTGTTGGGGAGTTCCCACTCCAAAGTGGCGATATACACATTTTCACAAATACAATTTACAGAAATATGTCTTCATCTAATTGATATTGAATTCTTTTCGAACCCTTTATTCGACCATAAGGGTGATTCAGATTCGAATTATGGAATTGATTATATGATATCTGTAAAGGGTGATACCAAAGTATACCTGGACTTTCTTATTTGAATAAGTAAAACCAGTGTATTATTCCATATTTAAGTAGGGTCCACTAATACAAATTCAACAATACCAAGTTTGATATGATTTTGTGAAACCTGTGTTTTGCTAGCATGAGAGATACAACTTGACCTGTAGATGTAATGTCAAATTCTCAAATAAGCAGTCAGTATGCAGAATTTCATAAAAGTTTTGGGTGGGTATAATCGGATATCGGCTTTTGATAAATGATATTACAGATTCAGAAACAAGACACTCTGAGTCATCTCCACAAATTCATTAGTTCACATCAAGATCATTGAACATGTTTCGGACTATCAATAATCCATCATCAGCAGAATTTTAAAATAAATTTTTATATTGTAACATTGCGGTTGCCTCTTATCACTTCCACGTGAGTAGATTACTTTGTTGAATTTTATAGTCATATAAAGAACTTTTTTTGTGGAAATGTTCTTTGAAAATGCTGCTGATGATGGACTATTGATAGTCCGATACATGTTCAGATTTTCCTGATGTGTACTGATAAATTTGTGAAGACGACTTAGAGCGTCTTGTTTCTGAAACTTATTCACTCCAGTTTGGGAAAATATGGACTTCTACCATAGATATTTCAGATTTTCGATTCGGAAATGAATTAATCACAGCTGGTTTTCTTGATGGTGCCAGTAAGTGACCAGCTCGATCGCATTACCTCTCACCACTAGACTTTTGATACGTAAAATGATCATTGTGAAATAACAATTCAATAGGCTTGAAAATCATTAGGATAAGAAGGCGTCCATCTATACCTCGCTAATGTAGTAGTAGCTTCTGGCAGCTATTGGCCTGGTGATTTCAGAAAATCTGCTTGAGGTTCTACTATAGGTATGTTTCCAGATTTTGTAAGATGAGGTTCATCAGAATTTTAATTTTTCCAACAAATATTTTATGTATGAGGAATGGAAAAAGCACGTCGATTTGTATTCGGAGGGGAATATGTAATGGAATGAAATATGTAATATCTATGTCACGGCAACAATGTCTCCATTGAACATAAATCGACCTAAGTTGAATGGAGCCAATGAAGGTCGATAATCTCATTTGGCCCACGTGGTATAATATTTTCAAGATTTTATTTCTTCGAATGTTGAAATTGTAAAATGAATTATATATTTCTTCATCCAGATATCTGTGAAGACCCAGAGATCAAAGAAAGGATCATAGAGCTAAAGACTGAACAGGAAATAAAGAGACAAGCAGAAGCCAAGCGAAAAGTAAGGAGGTCGCAGAGTAATACGAGAACACAGTCTGTAAGACGAACTTCCCTTAGAGATAAAGGTTTGACAGCAAGAAGAGATGCTGTTGAAGAAGCCAGGTTGCGGTTGCAGGCTGAAAGCAATGTGAGTAATAGAAGTTTATACAGGTTATATCTTCATGGCCCATCTCGATCTATATAATATGGAGAACTAAATGTATCAGGATCCTGAAAATTCTTAGGGACGGTGAAGGAAACATGAGAGTAAGTTTCCGAAAACACTTATTGTCGGTTACATACATACATGCAGGTGAAACTAATATAAGCGTGTTAATTGATGATCAAGATTTCGTTCATTAACGATTTTTTTGTTATAACGAACATGAGCCATATTTGGACTTTTGCAGATGATGAATCGCTAATCCATTTGTCGATGGATATTTGGCACAGCCTACTCGAAAAATCCAAAATTTCAGGCAGTAATTGCAGAATTAAGTAGTATTTTAGGATTTTTGGGTATCGGGAAGCTAATTACAACTAGGGCACATTTTATTGTTAGTAGCAATAGAAGATGTCTTCTGTTGTAATTAGATTTGCCTCATTCTGTCTTAGTGCGTTCGAGTTTTATGGCATTTAATATTTCCATGAAATAAAAAGAGCATGTCATTGCTTTTTTAGAATTGATTACATTTTTCAATTAGTATTCAGAACATTCCTTTTTTTTATATAATAATTTGTTTTTGTTCCTTGCTTTGTTTGGTTGAGTTTGGGAATTGGCTATAATTGTAGCTTGGTGAATCGAAATTGAAAAGGAAATGTACAAATTTAGCAAAGAAGATCCTATGAAATAGCATATCGAATTCAGAATGACGTTACATTTTTTTTCGAGTTACTCCAAACGAGCCCTGTTATTTGATACCCATATTGTAGAAGTTCATTAAAAATAACTATTTCGCCTTCTTGGATGTTCCGCAATATTGGATTTAGAATAACCTCGAACACCGTATCCAAACTAAACATGTATACAAAATCTCATTTCAATCTGTTGAAGATATCTACTTCAAAATTGAGTTCAAAGATTCCACCCGAACTAACATACATCCATGCATTGCAAGTTGAATAAAAGCTTTTAATTTAATTAAAAATTGGAATAAGTTCAATCACAGGTAATGATTAACTCTCACATATATTTATTTTCTATACATCTTTTTTTTAACGAAGTTCTAAATTCTCAGTATTTGAAAGCTTTGACATATAATCGGCAAATTATGGCTCGATTTGATAAGTGAAATATATCAGGTCCTAACCGCTATATGACATATCTCAACAGACGCTTTTGTGCAAGGCGCAAAAGGATCCAAACTGTCATTCATTAAATCGGCTTTTATCACTTGATGTTCGGACACATAAGTAAGAGTGCATAAGATATATGACAGGACTTGAACGCGCATGCTCCATAGCTCGGATATCCAGTCGTGGGTAGCACGTTTTTTTATCTCTTGGAGCGCACGAAAGGAAATTCCTATAATGTTCGTGGAACATCGCGCGCACAGTCGTATTCAATGAGATAGCGTACAAGTATTAAAAAGGGAGGATTTCGGGGTCCTAGTTCTAGTTGTGTAAAACTGGCTCAGCCAATGCTTTGTGTTTTCGAGAACCTATGACAACTTTACTGTCAACATTTTGTGAACAATCATTCCCGATAGCCCGATTTATGCAGAATAGGATGACGTTAATTTCTCTCTGTAATATATTTGTACGCTTTTTTGAATGCAACTGTACATAGGGAGAGAAGGTAGGTGTTGGATTTTTCTCGAACCCTTGGAGGTTATAAGTTCTTGAGAATACTTCCATTGGCAAAGAATTCCAAAGATTTGCCATTTTATAACGAAGGAGTTGTGGTAGAGTGTTGTTCGACATTTTCCAAGGTTGACGACGAGGGGATGTGCTTATTGGGCCTGTCGAGTTCGTCTGACTGGTATTGCTAGTGATTATAGCCAGTTACAACATGGGTTGACTGCCAAGGCACTTACGTACTATTTTATAGAGAACGCACCTAGGCTGCCAATTGATTTCATGTTTGTCACAGTGTTCTTCCCGAACATTTCTCGAATTTTGATGGAATAATCACCTGTTTTGGAATCTTTTATACAAGGTGATTCTTGAGGAGACTCACATCCAGACCCGGACTTGGTAAAATTTCACGTTTCATTGTTATGTCAAAAAGTTCACGTTGTGATCACTTTTCTCGAAAAATGTCATCATATTCAGAAAGATCAGACAAAATGCCATAAGAACTGCTCTTCAATTTACTACACTTTAAATTCTAGATAGATATTATTATTCGTGACTTTGTTTATGGACTTTAATTGAAACGAGTGTTGATAAAGTGTTGCTCGCCATATTTCAAGGTTGACAACGAAAGATTGTGCTGACTGTGCTTGTCGAGTTCGTCTGACTGGTATTGCTGGTGATGGAATGATAGCAGAAACTTTCGAATGAGTCCTTGGTGCCAAACACGGTCGAATTCTTTCGATGTCTAACGCCACAGCTAGAGATTCCCCATTTTCTAATGAAGCTTGCCATATAGCGGTAACGTAGACAAGTAAATCTCCAGTTGATCTTCGGTGGCGAAAGCCATATTGTCTATCATTGATGATTCCTGAGCTTTTCAGATATTTGATTAGCTCAATGTTGATGGCTGTCTCCATCACTTTGGAGATAACTAATAACAGGGCAATAGGTAGGCTTTTGTTTTCTTTTTTGGGGATTGGTTGGACTCTAGCTATTTTCCAGCAAGATGGAAAAATACCCGACTTTTGTTTATAATTTCGACTTTGATTATCATTAAACTTTCATACATGCCATTGAGAAACTTGGTAGGAGACCCAACTCCACCATATTTTGCAGATTTGACTTTTTTTAGTACGCCTATGTTTTATTTTGATAGCAGCTATTATATTCCAGTTATGTCTTCAGCAACTATGCAGTGTTAGTTGCAAACACATTTTGGTCACGTAGTATAATCATTGTTGAAGACCCTGAACTAGTTTAAGTACTTTAATTTTTGGCTGTTTGTTATTTATATTTAATATAGTAAAGAATATATAACATTCTTCTGGTAATACATATTTGTCGTCAGGACCATCAACACACAAACAAATAGGTAGAAAAATATCAAAATGGAAATTTCATTAGAATTGTCTAGAGCATTTTCAAGCGTTTAATAATAACTCGGAAACGAAACATTTTTAGGCCCATGTTCATGTGAACTTTTTTCCATATTTCGATAAGCGGAATCCTTCCTAGGCTTTAGTCACTTCAACTCTGAAACAACCTGTGTATTCGAAAGTGTACCATGTTCTCACGGGATATGCTGAGACCGTTGACGGATGCAGAATCTATTTACACTTTCCAAGATACGAGACATTATCCGACTTTTTCTCATCAGATTTGACATAGACTTCACACAGTAAAGCCGTATTGTAATTTTATCTCATAAAACTTACATGTTTTTGTGTTCAATGAATGTATTTATATCCAAAGACCTTTTGGTGATAACTAAAAACATTAAAAAGTGTAATTTCTCATACTTATAGGTACATTTATCACGTAAATTTGGTAAGGTATCTAGCTTCCAGGTTGTTTCAGGGGTTGTCCAACTGTGTCACCCCTGTGAGTGTAAACTTGAAACATCAGCGAGACATTCAGGTGCATTGTGTATTCAATTTGTAATGGTACGGCAAATGAAAATACAATTGACAAACTTTCGGGCATCACAGTACAGTATTCGTTTTCTTCAATCATAGTACGTTTAGGTAAGACGTAGAGCCAACCAATAATCAATTGATTTTCAAATGTTATATGCAAGCTAAAGAAATAGGATTATTTGTTCAAATGTTGTCCATCCACAACTGGTACAGATAGTGCTGTAAACCGTAACTGATCTTTATCATGTATTTCATTAGAGAAAACTTGATTGTTTCATAATTTGAAGTAATTGCGAATATGTGAATTGAAGGGGTAATGAAAATCATGAATCACACAATCTATGTACCCTCATTGGAACCAATTCCATAAATTTAAGTTGTTTAATTGAGTGTACTTCAGTAAGTTATTTCGAATCAAACATTCATGCATAATATTGAATTATTTAGAAATTTGAGCAATAACGAAATTATGGCGAAACTACAGTGAACATTCAACGAGAAAACTTGAAAGATTTCGATTTTTTGTTGATATATATTTTTTTGCAATTGCATTACCTCGTTAAATTCAATATTTGAAGGCGGTATTATTAAAAACTACCTTGAAATTCAATTGACATATTGAAGAGGCTATCCGATCAGAGGTTGTAGAAAATATTCATTAAAAAAAAAAGTTAATAATAACCGAATATTGTTTTATTTTCTTCTATAAGAATATAATTGACCACTTTGAGGGAGATGGATAGTTTTCACGAGTCAAATCAAGATTTTGCCAACTGGGTGATCTTTGATGTGACGTTGACAATTTAGCTCTGAATTCTTAGCTGAAATGATTTATTTATGTAATAAGAAACATTTTCGGACCCATGTTCATGCGATCTTTTTTCGATATTTTGCTAAGCGGAATCCCCACTTTGCTTCCTATTTCCACTCTAAACACCCTGTATTCACTCATCCAATTCAACTGGAAATGATACAAACTTTAGTTTTTCAGATGAAACCAATTTAAATGTTGGCATACTTATTGATAGTCTCCATATATTCAGGATAATAGTTGAAGAATATACTTGATGATTAGTTTTATTTTCTAAATATTTCCAAATCAGCAATATGTAAATGCCATTTTGTAATGAAGAGACGTAACGCCTTCATGATTTCCAATATTCATAATCAGATGCGATAATTCATCTGAAATTCCACTATGAAATTTTGGAATGCCTAAAAATTATTATGGTAATTTTGGGTACATTGTTCTATATTTGATTATTCAACCATAGTCTCCAAAACTTCACTTTATGATAATCTTGTAATAATTTGATAATTTATTTTTGACCTCAAAATCCATCATTCCCGACTATGCCACTGTGCTCAGCAAGCCGAAAGAATTGTTTCCAATCATTTAACAGCTCTTATTAAATAACTAATGTTTGCATGAAAGTTTGTTATGTAATGATATTAATATGATTCTTTTTTAAGTCGCATCTAGATGCATACTTTGCACATGTAAAATTCTTGTAGTGAAATTGTCTGTTTCAACTAGAATTAATATGTTATTTGATATAATATAATGTTAGTTAAAGACAGTATTGTTATTGATGTGGTTGATAAAAAGAGTTCATTATGAGGAAAAGAAGGCAGGTTGAGTGCTTATCATATAAAGTAAGTTATTTAGACTGCATTTATGGGTTCCGTTCACCTTAGGAAAAATGATAGATATTGAATAGGGAAAAAGAAAATAATGCAAGTATGCTAACCTTCTCTTGTTTTAGTTGAGAAATAAGGTCAAACACAAACTTTGAAGTGTTGAATAAAATACTGTATAATTTTATCTTTCATTTTTGAATTAGGAATACAAATTGATACATGTTGGTTTATATTCTGACATTATTGAATAATTTATTTTGACATTAGAAATTTCTACTAATGTCAGTAATTGCTAATTTGTGGAGATACTGGGTGACACAGACTCATGGTATACCCCCTTTTTCTTTTGTTTTTCTAGCTTTATTTCTGAAATTTGGAACATTGAATATGCTCACTAGAGAGGGCATTTTAGGATTCTTTTTTCATCTTATGTTTTTCCTGGAAATGACATCAACTTTCGATTTTCAAATGGAACACCCTATATTTAATTCTATAATCGGTCAGGGATTATTATAACGAATTCAACGATACCGGGTTTGATTGGGTTATTTCAAACGATCACGAAGATATTATCATTGAGCATAATATGGAAATTCTGAATTCGAATTCGTTATAATAATCCCTACACGATTATGGAATGAAATACAGGGTGTCCTATTCGAAAATCGAAAGTCGATGTCATTTCCAGGAAAACCGGAGGATGAGAAAAAATCCTAAAATGTGAGTGCCGTCTAGCGAACATATTCGATATTCCAACTTTCAGAAATATAGCTAGAAAAACAATGGAGAAAACGGAGGTATATGGCTGGAGCATTTTTCCTGGATCTTGATAAACAGGGTGTCCGTTCTTCGAGTCCTAGATCTCAGTTATCTTAAAAGATAACAAAATTAGGGCAAATTCACGCATTTTTTCGACCTTTCATTTTTATTTCTCAAAATATCGCAAAAAAACAAAATTTTTGACCAATATATTGTCACAGCAGTGGTGAACAAGGGAACATTATTTTTCTAGCATTTGAGTAAATAAACTCGGCACAGTAAACTTTTTTGACATATTATAGTCACCCTAAAATTTACCATCAAATTCAACAGATGGTCAACAGGGTATAAAAAAGATGACCGAAAGTTCGCAATTATTACATTTCGAAACCTTCCTTTGTGAAATATTCTGTATAGACCTGAGCGAACTTCCCCATAAAAAATAAGTTGAAAATGATTGTGAATTCTCCATAATAAGGATATTAACTGCTGTCGTTGATATTCCTCAGACTTAATCACAACAATATTTCATCTACATATAATTATAGTTAAATCGAGCTGTTCCAATACCGTCACAATAAGCTGAAGGTATAAAATATTTGTTTTTTTCAGCACCTGGATAATCTAAATACAGCTGTAAATGGTCCAAATCCAAAGCCAATCTTGAACAATAACCACTTACCTGACCTCAGTACAAGCAATGAAATAAGCTCAAATTATCCTTCGAACATCGAAATTAATGCTGGCCAAGTGTCAGAAGACCGAAAGGCACCTGAAGGCAAAGATGATGAATCCGTTCAGGAAGAAATCGGAGACACGACAGAAAACACGTATACTACTGATGTCAACGGTAAAGTGACTGTCCACGTTGTGGTTACTATTAATGGCAACGGAACCTTGGCTGATCTCAAGAAGCAGAGGATGCAAATCAGGAATAGCAGTAATGACATCAATAGTCTGTCATCTCCCATAGGGAGTATAATGGAGAATGATTCGAACTCCAGTCCCTCTACTGACATCGTCAAGTTTACGGGTTACACTATGGAAGAAAATATTGAATACTCTAAGCCGAAACGATGTTGTATTATACAGTAGGTAATGTTATTTTTTCAGATAATTTTTATAGATATTTTGTTTTTATACCAACTAAATATTTTAGAATTATTCTAGGCAAACCTCTCTCAGTACTTAACTTGCAGGTCATTCGCGAAATGAAAATCTATCCGTTTATCAACAGTTTTCCCAATAACCAGAGTATTTAATAATATATTGATTTCAAATTCAGCAGTCACATTTTTTGAACGAGATGATGCTGAAAACAATAGGCATGAACAATAATTTCTAGTAAAAATACTATGACGTTCACCACGATGGGAAAATGCACAGAGGATTTTGAGAATTTTTTGATTCCTTCTAGATTTCTAAAAATAAATTACCTACTAAAGAAATGCTCCCGTTAGAACACGACGGAGAATCTTCAGCGGGACTGACGTCACAAGTTCTTCAATGCGTGGACCGTATATTGGTAGTCGGGAAACTATTCAGTGAGATAACCATCGTTGCCGTTTCATCCGATTCTTCACTTTGTATAATTTAACATTTACCGCTCTCAAGATTTAACTATTTCGACAATAGCATGGATGAACTGAGGAAGACAGTTTAAAACAAATTTGCCCTTGTATTTCCATACAGTGGATTGTGGCATGTTACAACATAGATATTAAAGTCATGTCACCAGAATTTGTGGTAGGTTCATTAAAAAGTATACCAAAATCGTTCATTTAGATTGTTATTCGAATAATTGAGAAGTAGGCCAAATTTCGTCGTTGCTGATCGAACCTACAATGTGCTACATAACCCTACTCGATTACTTATTATGTCAGCTATAAACTTGAAGAATTGTAAATGAGGGAAACAACCTATACTATAAACATACTATATTGATGACATTTACTTAATCAATGAATATCAAATTATCTCACCAGTTCACAGTAGAATCGATTCTAAATTGAAAAATATCCACTTGATATTTCTTTAAAATTAAACAGCTGGCAACACAGCAAAAGTTATTATGACGTCAGTACTGGCGCCGCCGAACGCTATGTTCGAACATTCCATGAAATTGAAGGGTATTCAAATGGTGTTTTTTGAAATATTACAGCATATTTTATCGAAAAATTGATGCATTCATGTTATGTTGCTACTATATTTCAATTATATGCACATTTAAATGGAATTCACGCATTTGTGTCCATGTCTATTGGCAAATATGGAATATTGTTGGAATGATTCATTTTCGAGAATTAAAAAATTGTTTGTCCTCGATTGGTCATTGTGGCGTAGGACCTAATAATTTTATAATTATTCCAAAATAAAATCGTTTAATCAAAATGTTTCAGAAGGTAAAGGAAGTACTGAAAACCAGGGGAGTCTATCACAAACTGTTTTTCAGTACTTTCGCCATTGACTTTCAAACTGTTTTTTTTTCTTTCATTCAATTTCGATCATTTTTTATCCAATATGTCAATTTGATGAAATGATTCGTGCCAGATATAACTAGAAAAGATAATTTACCAATTGTTTCTTGTTTTATTTAGTTCAAAACTTGTGATTCGTTATGTTGAAGCACTATACCGAATTTGAAATCGATATCTTATTAAATATTCGTGTTATGGAAAAAAATACTGTTTTGAATTTTTGGTAAACGAATGGACCTTCTTCGCGGGCTCCCTGTAGAGACTTCTTGGTCAAATGTTTGTATTTATAGGTATTTCAAATGTTATTCCTAGAATATTTTCTTGAAACTGCCTTCAAGAACGTCCAAGAAGACGTCAAATAATGTTCTTTTTGGTGATCTCTTCGATTCAGATTTTCAGTTCTTAATCGATTTTGAATTTGTAATAGGTACTGATTCCACCTAAGTACATAGTGAGTCGTACTTTTGCTGCCTTGTTTCTCAGACAAAATTTGTCTGGTCATGTGTTGACTCACACTGTATATAAGCAGATACGTCAAAATATATGTGGTATGGATGTCTCCACTTTCCAGTTCGTTCTTCAGAATTCCATATAGTTGAATATGAACAGAAGGTAGATACATTCCCCTCTTTATTATGCAAATCACAAAGTGCTAGCCTAGAGGAAATTACGAGAATTAAATAATGAGAATTAAATAATGTTGGTAGGTTTATCCAGGAGGAGGAATATTATGTTTTCTAAAATTTTTCTTCTCTACAAATAAAAATATTAGTACCTATTATTTCAATATACTTGTATAGTAAGGGCAAATCACATGGAAAATCACTGCATTCGAAATTTTACAATTAAAAACCTAAATGAGAAATTCAATCCATAATCAGTGAGGCCTTGTGTGAATGATGTTTGTAGAAGGATATGAGTAGGTATAATGAAAAATATAACATTTCACTTATCTTTGGACGTTCCGAAAACGAATCTGCTCCCGTTTTCAACATGAAAATGTAAAAAAAATGTCTGCTAGCTACGAATAACTTCTTCCACAAAATGTAATATTTTTCAATATACTTATATTGTTTTTCTTTGAACATTCCTCAAACAAGATTTCACTGACGATCGATTGAATGTTTCTGTTATGTTTCTATTAGTGAAAATTTGTGGGGCAAATCCTCTGATTTATCCTTGCCACAAGTATTTTGTAATAATAGTAATGTTTTTTCAAAGAGGTGAGGACAGAAAATTTCAATGGATGCATCACCAGAATACAAGTTTGTGCCACATCAGTATATGAATAATACGATACTCAACATTTCATATATCGACACATTGTTCGACTCGGTTAAAGGGAAACAGTAGATAATTCATCGAGGTACCAAAAAATGGCGATGTTTTACTTGAGAAAAATGTAGTTCACCAAGCTATTCACAATTTGACTCGTAATTGAAAATGAATACAGTGCATATTATAGACTCTCAGGTTTGTCGAAATTGATAAGAACATGTCTGATGAGATAAAATTGACATAATATAAAAAGTATATTTCGATTCAATAGTTTTTCTGGTATTTCATATGTGATGATTTGCATATTCTCGATATATTTTTATGACTTCCATTCTTGGAAGTTACTTATTTCAAAACCACAATTTCACTACTTTGTATTGTTTAGACATTTTGATACTATGTTGTCGTTTCAAGTTAAATCTCATCCTATGAACTGTTATTCTCAAAATCAAGGAGAAATTATATGAATTGATTTTGTTATCAAACTGTGGGATCTACACAACCTTTCACACCCGGTAACAAGTTCATAACAAAAAGCTCAATTGTTGATAATAGAGAGAAAACACTAAAGTCTCACTCAAAACATTAAATGTTGATGCAATCTTGTTTGCGCTACATGTTTCGACTCCTAGGAGTCGTCATCAGGCTGAAAATACAAAATACGTGCAATAAAATTAAATGTTGAAAGTTCCATCACTATTGGAAATTCATAGGTGACATACCTTATAGGCTAGGAGGAGAAAAAAACATAAAAAAACAGAGAACATGATTCAAATGTGAGAAAAATTTGCTCAAGCCTAATACATTCAAAATCTTCTCATCTTTGTTTTTTTGATGGTGTCTTTCTCCTCCTCACCTATGAGGTGAGCCACATATGAATTTCCAATATGGATCTTTTAACTTCTATTTATTTTTATGTATACTTATTTTGTATTTTCAGCTTGATGATAACTACTAGGAGTCCTAACATGTATCACAAAAAGAGTTGCATTAAATTTTAGGTTTGCAGAAAGACCTTATGAGTTTTCCCTTCATTATATAATTATAGAATTTTGTTGTCAATGTCAATAAATTGAATTTATCTAATTTTTTATGATTGAATCCTTTGGAAATGTTTGTGTGCCTATTCAATGCCTTGGAATTTTCAAATGGAAGTGAAGATGTTTTTTACTCCTGTATTGTATTCATAATATTGATATACTACTAACTTTATGTCACATTATTCGAACTATATTTAGCGTTGAGCCTCATACATAATGAAATTCCTACTATTATCGTTCCTCATAATTTATATAGCCTAGATATTGGTGGATTTTTAGATAAGGTATAATGAACTTGCAACACGATTGTGAGTGAACATAATTATTTTCAGTAGGTTCTGCTTGATATTTCAGAATAATACTTCAAATTCAAGAAAAATACCAAGACCTTCATTATGATGAGAACAGGGACATAGATTTTTTTTCAATTCTTACTCTAGTATTATTCTCAACATACCGGGTATAACGGGATCATGGTACACCCGCTTTTTCTAAATTAGTTTTGGAGATGAGTGATGGAAATTTGGAATGACCCATCAACTTGATGAACTTTATGTTTCGATATAATAAGGTTTTATTTTCCACTTCCGGTTTCACCAAAAGTGATAATAACTTGATTTTCAGATGGAACACGCTGTATATCATTGCATTTTCGAATTCTGCATCATTTTCTGAATCCATAATCATTTTAATTCCATTTTTTATCTTCCATCTGAGTGTGCCATGACTATTCTGATCAAGTCTGATGTACCCATATCGACAAGTGTAATGCTAAAAAAATGAATTCTGTCAAAATGTCGAATTTCTTGATTTATCAGCAAATGAAGTTCATCACGTAACCCGACGAAAAAATTGACATTACTGCCGTCACAAATATTATATAGGTAATAATCAATTCAAATATTCGAACACATTAATCCGCTCCTGTGACATGAATTTCACAATCTCATAAATGGAGTAAGCATTAAAATGGCACTTCAAACCCCCTTCGCTCTCATTATTTTGATGGTGAATTGTTCAGTTTGATTGTATAAACGTCACATATGAAAGTACTCAATGGATGTTTAACTTATATTGATGATATTTAATGCGTAGATCAATATCCCTATACCTCGCTGTTTGTAAAATTGAATAACTAAGTAGGAAATATATATATAATATGTTCTTCAAAATATCGCAGTATTAGTTTTCTTCAGTTAACTTAACAGCTTAACTGAATTCACGCATTTATGTACCTGCCGATTGTATCATATTATTATTGTTTTTTCTGTGACGGGAAAAAAGTTTGGCATTACATCTC